AGCAAGGTTTTGTGTGTGTGTGTGTGTGTGTGTGTGTGTGTGTGTGTGTGTGTGTGTGCTGCAAATGGAATTCAGGGCCGCATACTCACTTGGCAAGTGCCCTACTGCTGTGCTACAAATCTCCAGATTAATGGTAGACTAAAAAAAGTTTTTATTAACGGGCCTGAGGGAGGCTTTCCCCTTAATGCCAACAATCAAAAGGACTGATATTTGATAAGGTGGCCACAGTAAAACACAGAGCGTCATCCTGTTGATGCAGACCTATAATCCCAGGATTGAGGGGCCTGAGGAGGCAGACAATAAAGAATTTGAGGCTAGCCTGGGCTACAAACCAAGAGCTTGTCAAACAAAAGAAACACCCTGAGAACAAGAGTGTCGTTGATCATAGTATCCCACCTGCCTAGTATGTGTGCACCGGTCTAGCATGTGTGCACTGACCTAGCATGTATGCACTGGCCTGGCATGTGTACGCTGACCTGGCATATGTCTACCGGCCTAGTATGTGTGCATTGTGTAAAACTTCTATCCCCAGCAGAGGGAAAGAGGTGAGAGGAGGACACAGGAGGGAGTGTTTTAACCGCCAAAGAGATTTAGAAGATTAAGAACATAATGATTTTATTCTGTTAATCAGGCCAAATAGATCCCCCCAGTCAGCGGAGACCAAAAAGTCCCAGAAGCCACTCACAACAAAAAGCTAGGTAAGCAAGCATTCTAAAAATAGATGTTGCTGGTTCTCAAAGTGGAAGTGAAAACAAGAAGCCTGGTTTGTGTTGTTGCCCGGAGTGACATCAGTATAATCACAGCTCACTGGAGACTGTACACCCGGGCTGCTAGGCTTGGAGGAAATTTTTTTTTTTTTCGGTCCCAAACTGAAAAGCTAAGTAAACTCCAACTCCTACATGGGCCAAATGTTGTGAAAGCCTTGATTTTGTAAAGAGAAAAACAAACCTCTTTGTTTGAGTGATGTAAATTTTATCTTTCCTTGGGTCAAAGTCAAGAGCTAAGGTCAACTGTGAGGTCTTGAGTAAAGACTGACAAAAGTGAATCCATCTTCCATTGTCCATTCATTGGCTCGTCAGACATTTGGCAGACACTATGCAAGTTTCTTCGTCCCTGGATGTGAAGATAAGAAGAGATAAGGTGTTTACTTACTTTTTAAAAAAGATTTATTTATTATATATACACTGTTCTGCCTGCATGCCAGAAGAGAACACCAGATTTCATTACAGATGGTTATGAGCCATCATGTGGTTGCTGGGAATTGAACTCAGGACCCCCTGGAAGAGCAGCCAGTGCTCTTAAACTCTGAGCCATCTCGCCAGCTCAGGGTGTTTACTTTCAAGGAGCTTGATGTTGATGTTAGCAGGAGGCTCAAACCCTAGGACTGTGTGCTATGGTGTGGCAAGGGCTGAGTGAAAGCAAACAGTGGTAGCTGGGTGTGCGCCTTTAATCCCAGCACTTGGGAGGTAGAGACAGGCGGATATTTGTGACTTCGAGGCCTGCCTGGTCTACAAGCGCTAGTTCCAGGACAGCCAGGATTGTTACACAGAGAAACCCTGGGTCAAAAAACAGAAAAAAAAAAAAAAAGAAAGAAAGAAAAGAAAAGAAAGGGAACAGGGTTCAGTAACCTCCCTGGGAGACTGCAGAAGGTTCTTGGAAGTCTGAGCTGAATTCTGAGGAATAAGCACTAAGCTTCTTCCCTGTTGTTACTGTAACAAATGACATGCATCTAATGACTTAAACTGGGGGTGGTGCATACACCTGTAATTACATAATTGGGCTGTCTGAGGCAGGAGGATTGTGAGCTTGAGGTCTGAGACCAGATAGACTACTTTTCAAGTTAGAGGACCCTGGGCTACTAACAAGACCCCACACACTCTGAAGACGTGTTGCTCTCACTGATAATAATAATAATAATAAATAATAATAAAAACCAGATTGGCCGAAAGCTAGGCAGGATTTGGGGACAGAGAGAATGCTGGGAAGAAGCGTGGAGGTGGAGTCTGAGGAGTCTAAAGTCAGATGCGGAAGAAGCAACGTGGGAAGTTCATAGATGAGTTAAATGAGCCTTGGGACAGTACATAGATTAATAGAAATGGGTTAATTTAAGTTATAAGAGCTGGCTGGAGACAAGCCTAAGCTATCGGCCAAGCATTTATAATTAATATTCAGTCTCTGTATGCTTATTTGGGGAGCATCTGGTGGAACAGAAAAGCCCGTACAAATGGTGCTCAAACATCTGGCGCCTATATCCACATTAAGAACCGAGAAAGTTAACAAAGGTTCAAAACACACAAAAACAGAACCAAATGCAGCTTCCTTGTCTCATGTCTCTCATGCCCAGCTGCTTCCTGTGAGCTTGATCTGCTCCCACCAGTGCCACCAGAGTGAGCCCCACCAGCACACCATGACACATATGGCAGGTTTAAGTGTTGCTCATACAGACAGAAAAGTTTACAGGTACACAGGAAAGACAGATCCAGACAGGAAAAAAAAAACCCTCTAGATGGGACACAGTGTTTTTAAAACTGTACATAGGCTTGGGAGAGAAAAGAGAAATGGTATAGAGAGTTTAGAAGACGACGTTCCCTTTGCCAGCAAAGTTTGTCCTTAGGATTAGGAACATCATTTAGGGGTTGATTATAATTGGTATAAGTTTGAGGTTTGGGGGGAAGTTATGTAGGCTCAGGGATCTCTTTGAAAGTGAGACTGTCCCTTTAATGTGTTGCAGGGCAGCTTATATAGGGATTCTTAACTGATAACCACGCCCCAGCCAAACCCACCAGAAACCACTCTCCTGCCATCAGGAACTCCTGAGGGTCTCTTGCTCAGAGCAGCTGCAAACACAGGAAAACAAGTTGTTTTGCTCAGAGCAGCTGCAAGCATAACAAGTTGTTTATGAGAAATTCAGGATCTGAGGGTCCACAGCCCCCAACAGGATTCCATCAAAATTAATAAAGATTTGGATTGAAAAAGAGAAATCTCTTGAAGAGAAATGATGGCCCATCCACAGAGGCGACAACCAATCAGGTGGTAAGGAAACCACTAAGGGCTGGGGCAGGGTTCTGTTCTTGTCTTTGCAGGAAAATACTCATCTTCAACTCAAGAGACCCTGGACATCTGGATGCCTAAAGAGGAAAAGATAATTATTCAGATAGGATCACCAAGCAGAGGACACTTGTGAGGACATGTCATCTGAGGGTAAGAATCTCTGAATATTAGCTAGAATATAATATATATTCTAAGAATCCAAGAATGTTGTTAAAAGAAAAATTCAGAGTTTCTGTTTCATGTCAGGAGCCATCTAGTAGGGGACAGAAAGAAGAAAGAATTTAGAAAAAAATTTACTTTCCTTCATACCTATTTTTGTCTCTATCGTACCTTTCATTGGATATATATTCAATGAAATTAGTTAATATTAAGCCTCTGAATGATTATTTCACAAGCAGCTGTGGGGACCAGTGGGTAGGATAGAAGCAGGCCCAGTGGGACTGGATGCTCTAGCTACAGTGGAGAGTGTGTTTTCAGAAGATCAGAATCTAAAGTTTAATGGGACTAAAGTCAAGGCGTTTGCAGTGCACTTGTTTCTTAGAAATGCATCCAACATTTGGCCCATGACCGTATACATCCAAGATAGCTAAGAATGAGGTCCAAGTTTCATGTATTACAACACAATTTCCAAGTTCCTTGAGTCTTAAGTGTGTGAGATCCCAAGTACTCTTTGGTTTGTGGTCACCGCACTCTAACAGCTGCCTTTTCTATTTCAATTTTCCAAGTCAAGTTTCCCTTGACCTCTCTTAGAAAGACCCTTAGGGTTATGTGCAGGGGTCCTCCATGTAATTAAAGATACTTTCTGCATCTTAAGTCCTTTAATTAAGTCTATTGCTATAATTTTGGTTTTTTTGAAACAGGGTCTAGCTATGTGCTTTTTAAAATTTTGAGACAGGGTCTCATGTAGCCCTGATTGGTTTTGAGCTCACTATTTATCTGCCTGCCAAGTGTCCTCATGCCCAGCTTTCTTTACATGCTTTTTAAAATTAGTTAATTAATTTTTTATGTGTATTGGTGTTTTGCCGGCATGTGTATCTCTGTGACAGTGTTGGGTCTCAGGAACTGGAGTTATAGACAGTTCTGAGCTGCCATGTGTGTGCTGGGAACTGAACCCAGGTCCTCTGAAAAAGCAATCAGTGATCTTAATCACTGAACCATCTCTCCAGCTCCTTTTTTTCTTTTTGGGACAGGATTTCCCTGTGTAGCCCTGGCTGCCTTGGAACTCACTCACTTTGTAAGTCAGGCTGGTCTCAAATTCACAGAGATCCACCTGCCTCTGCCTCCCTAGTATTGAGATTAAAGGCATGCGCCACCACCACCCGGTTCACCAGCTTCTCTAAATATTTAGTCTATATGAAATTCAAATCAGCAACTCACACAGTAGTTTTAAAAACAAGTCTAATAATATAATCTAAAGCCATTCAAATTTGATACATGCTGATGAATGACTGTTAAAACAATTCAAATTCTTATTGCAGCCAATTTACAGAAGAAACAGAAACTTGGAGAAGCACAGCAGACTATCAAGATCTTAGAGCTTAGTGTAATCCTAGGCTTGAAGTCCTAGGGCTTAGGGGAAACATCTGTGTTCTGTCTCAACCTGATCTTTGTCCCCCCCCCCCCACATCTGCCTTTATTATAAACAGCAATGGGACACTTGTAGCAATGGTAAAAAAAAAAATAATTTACAAAATCAGAGGCTTGTTGAAGCTTCCCCGGTGGGAAGGTACCCTTGGGGACTCATGCGTAGATGCCAACCCAGAGCAGGAGGAAGAGGACGCCAAAGCCCATGAAGAGTGACACCACCAAGGAGATGAGAAGCTCTTTGTAAATGTCACATGTGTACTTGGTGGAGGTGACCTTGTAAATGAAGGACCAGGCAGTGAAGAACATGCCAATGGCCAGAAGTACCACAGTCAGGTGTGGGAAGACAACCGGGTTGACCGGGCTTGTGTACCTACTCGTGATAAACCCCCATCCTGATCTTTGACTTTTAATGTGTCACAGTATTCCTGAGGAGCCATGAACAAACATCTCTTTGCTCCAGATAGGCAGCCAAAGATAGACCAAAATATGCATACCACAAAGTCCAACTTGGTGAACCATGAGTTCTATTGGGGTTGCTTACAGAATCAAGGATGAAGGGTTTGTTATAGAGGCAGAAATGAGTCAAAGGACAGCTGCATCCCAAGAGCCCGCCCATTATGGGTGACAGCTTACAAAAGCTGAAAACCAGGAGAATACTGCACAGCCTGCAGGTAGCTCAATAGGCAGGAGAGTTCGTTCCAGGTAGCTCAATTGGTCTGAGCTACTGTCCAGCTTCTGGGCTGGTCTCTGTTTCTTCCAAGTTGCTCAGTTGGTCTCTACTTCTTCTAGGCAGCTCTGCTTATCTGAGAGCATCTCCTAGCCACCATTACTGCTGATGTACTCTTGGGTGGGAGGGACCTACTGAAACTGGTCAGTTTCAGAGACATCCTGAAGCTATGGAGTTGTTTACTTTCTGAACATAAGGGGCTTCCCTAATGAGATGTTCCATTTTGCCTTAGAACGTTCTGTGTCTCAACACAATTTCCTATGAAATGGAAGGTTTTAATCTGGAAATTGCTATGCAACAGCTTTCTCAAAAGCTGCTGGGACTCGTGTTTTCCTGGCAGTTCCCCAAACAACCTAGAACATACAGGAGTGTACAAGATGACATTTGGTTGAGGCAGGAAGTACAGCACAGGGCCAGTCTTTTGTTCCCAAGGGAAATGCTGCCAAGACAAGATAAACTGTCTCCCACACTGCCTGCTTCCAGTCTTAAGGGATTAAAAACAACCTCCTTAAAGTGAACACCTGCTATCCATCCTTCTTTGCTACCTGAGTCCCTGGATTGATCTCTGAGGGTTTCAATTATACACAGTTCTCAAAACCCAATTCCTCCACCACCCTGCCACATCCTTCAAGGAGTCTCTCCTGATTTCCTCCCCCAGGTTCTTTCTGCTCACCAAGCTTGAGTGAGTCCTTTGTCTTACAATGCATTCACTTCCTTGCTCTGATTGGATTGAAATGACTGAGACCTCAGAGTCTCAGTCCCCTCTCCTGTAACACACAGATAACATTGGGAAGATAAAGTAAAAAAGAAACTATAGAAGACCAGGGATGTAGCTCAGTGGTGTAGTGCTTACCCAGAAAGGTTCTGATTCCATACCTAAACTGTGTGTGCGTGTATGCTTGTGTGAGTGAGTGCATGGGTATGTGTGTGTGTAAGGGTGTGTGTGTGTGTGTGTGAACATGTGTGAGTGTGTGCTTGTGTGTGTATGTGTGTGTGAAAGAGAGAGGTGAAGGCAGGCCGAGGTACACTTGAGGAGACCAGAGGACATCTTTGTGGAGTCATTTTTCTCATTCCACCTTTACACATATCCCTGGGATCAAACTAGGTTGTCAGGCTCGTGCAGTAAGTGCCTTTGCCTGCTGACCTTCACCAGCCCTGAGTATAACACAATCACATGCCAATACACACACACACACACACACACACACACACATACACACACAATACATTCAATCACAGAGACTGGCTTCAAAGTTACTATGCAGTCAAAAATTAGTTTGAACTTCTTATCCTCCTACCTCTATCTCCTGAATGTTAGGATTAGGGTCAGGCACCACTATCCTTGCTGAGTGACTTGGTACCCTAATGGCATGAACCATGTGCTAGTTTACATATGAATGGCCCCCATAGAGTAATATATTCATGCTTAGTCACCAGGGAGTGGCACTATTTGAAAGGATTAGAAGATTTAGGGGGAGTGGCCTTATTGGAGTAGGTGTGGCCTTGTTGAAGGAAGGGTGTCACAGGTCGGGGAGTGGACTTTTAGTTTTCAAAAGCCCATGCTAGGTTTAAGCTCTCTCTCTCGCTCTCGCTCTCACTCTCGCTCTCGCGCTCTCTCTCTCTCTCTGAGCCCACAGGCCACAGATGTGGATTCATTCCACCTTGACTAAAGGTCAGAGAGTTCAGGCCTATTCTTGCTCCTTCAAGGTTATATGACAGGAGGTTTCACCCTAGGTGTTGCTACTAAGAGGGTGTCTTGACCTAGGGTGTTGTTACTTGGCATTTTGGGTATCAAGAAGACAAAAGAAGTCTTTTGCCTTCTTCTCCCCTTTTGGAATGGGGTTTATAAAGCCTACGAGAAATAGATGTGAGGGGAATCTCATTATTTCTGGATGCTCTCCCGACTCTATCAGTTGTCTCTTGGCTATTTCTTTCTTTTTTTTTCTTTCTTTTTTTTTTTTTTTTGGCTATTTCTTCCTTAATCCTCATGCTTCCCTCTTAATGCAGACAAATAAACTGGGCAGGACCCAAAAATGGCACCCAACGTGAGGCTCAACAAACGGCGTCTCATCTGTGGAGCTTGGATATGGGAGGTACTGTGATGGATCCCTCAGATGAATGAGACATTGCAGGTGTTGAAGTAAAATGAGCGCTTGGATAGATAACAAATGTGGAAGTGTGGGGAGTATTTATTGGGAGTAAAAATTTGTAAATAAAATTCGTAGATATGGGGCAAGGAAATAGTATTCAGCTGTCTGTAAATTTACTTGGCTATATTTTGAAAGCAGAAGAACTGGGGTAGAGCAGCAACAAGAGCAGAAATTTTTTTGAGTTTGTAAATAATTTAAACTTCCTGTTCCCTCCCCACACTGGTGGGGCAGCTGCGTTGTATTCAAACTGCTCTAAGACTCAGCAAAGTGAAGTTGTCGTCGGCCCGTGCTCTTGATCAACTTGAGCAATGGGTGCTGTAGTCTCAGCCACAGCACTGCCATACTGAGCAAGCAAGGGAATGAGCAAGAAAGCAAGCAGAGAGCAGGGTGTGCAACCTGGCAAGGGCTGCAGGCAGAAGCCTCCAGGAACTGCCCCCACAACCAGGGCCTCCCAGTCCCTGGCACCGGCAGGACAGCTCTACCTCTGCCCTAGCCAGACAGATAAGAGCAGGCTGAAGCCTCCAAGAACTGCCTTCACAACCAGGGCCTCTCAGTCCCTGGCAGGACAGCCAAGTCATGTGGAGCACAGCTCTAACTCTTCCATAGCCAGACAACAGCAGGCCGCAGCCTCAGGGAGCTGCCCCCACCCAGCCAGAAGTCTGTGAAAATGCCAATGCTTCCCAAGCCAACCTGTGAAAATGCAAATGCTGCCTGTCAGCTAATGGGAGTTTTGCAGTTTAGATTAGAAAAGATGACTTGCAAACTTTGAATGATTTTCAGAAATTATTGGGAGATATTCAATGGTTGAGACCTATTTAAAATTGCTTATGGCAGATCTTGAGCCCCTCAGTGAGATTCATAAAGGGAATAGTGATCCGAGTTCCCCTAGGCATCTTACAGATGCTGCAAGACAGGTACTGGATCAGTGGAATATACAATACAGAATCAGCAGGTACATTATATTAATTATAGTCAATCTTGGCAAGCATATATTTTGCCTAGAGGACTTACCCCTATAGCAGTATTACAGCAAAACAGTCCTCCATTATGTCTACATCTTCCTGTTTTGACAATTAAGGTATTAAACACTTATTTTGAAGCAGTAGCTTACTTAATACAGAAATACCAGATGGCATCTAGGCGATATTTTGGTAGAGAACCCAATGTGATCAATGTTCCTTACACTAAGCAACAGGTTGTGTTGAAATAAGGAGCGGCGGGGTTGCGTCCCCAGCACCCCAGCCGTCCACATGGCTAGCTTATGCCCGAAATAACAACACACAAACATTTAAACACTGCTTGACCCATTTCTATGTAGCCTCTTCTAGGCTAATTCTCACATATTAATTTAGCCCTTTTCTAATCATCTGTGTAAGCACCCCAAGGTGCGCTTACTGGGAAGATTCTAGCCTACGTCCATCCTGGGTTGGAGGAGCTTCATTGCATGCATCTGCCCGGGAGAGAGGAGCATGCCTCTCTGTCTGAGGAGTCTGGCTCTGAGAGGAGCTGCATTACTTCTGACCTCACTTCCTCTTCCTCCCAGCATTCTCTTCTGCTTACTCCACCCACCTATGTTCTAACCAATAAAATGGGCCAAGCCAGTTTCTTTATTAGCCAATGACCTTCCTCCATCAAGGTTGAATGATTATTTTAAATAATGATTCTTGGGCAATTGCATTTGCTCAGTTTTTAAGCCAAATTGATAATCATTTTCCAACTGATCAATTGCTGGAATTTGCATCAGTACATTTCTTTATTTTTTCTTTTTCTTTTTTTAAAGATTTATTTATTTTATTATGTATACAACATTCCTTCCATGTGTGCCTGCAGGCCAGAAGAGGGCACCAGATCTCATTATACATGGCTGTGAGCCACCATGTGGTTGCTGGGAATTGAACTCAGAACCTCTGGAAGAGCAGCCAGTGCTCTTAACCGCTGAGCCATCTCTCCAGCCCTCTTTATTTTTTTCTAAAATTGTGATGAAAGGTCCCTTAAAAGATGCTATGTTGGACTGGAGAGATGACTCAGAGGTTAAGAGCACTGACTGCTCTTCCAGAGGCCCTGAGTTCAATTTCTAGCAACCACATGGTGGCTCTTGTAATAAGATCTAGTGTGCTCTTCTGCCTGTAGGCATACAGGCAGGCAAAACATTGCATATATAATACACAAATAAATTTAAATGCTATGTTAACCTTTACAGATGGTTCTTCAAATGGAAGAGCAGCATATATTATTGATGGTAAAGAATATGTAGTGCAAACAGACCCAGACTCAGCTCAAATAGTTGAACTGTGAGTTGTTGTTATGGTATTTCAGCTTTTTGTAAATAATGTATTTAATTTATATACTGACAGTCATTATATTTTTAGAGCTCTTCAAGTCATCGAGACTGTCCTTTGTATTGGAACTAGTAATTGTGAGGTTAAAATACTTCTCCAGCAAATTCAAGAAGCCATTTCTCAGAGAAAACTGCCATGCTTTGTGGGTCATATTAGTGCACATTCAAATCTCCCTGGTCCTTTGGCTGAAGGTAATGCTTTAGATGATAAACTTATCTCAATTGATTTCCTTATCTTAACTTGAGCTTGCTCAGTGATCACATGCTTTACATAATCAAAGTAAAAAAGTTTAAGAAGACAATTTGGTTTAATAAGAGAAATTGCTCATCAGATTATTAAGCACTGTGCTATATGCCCATAATATTTACCTGTACCTCACCTTGGGGTAGATCCTCAAGGTCTGTTTTCTAATCATTTATGGCAAGTGAATATTACTCATATTGCAGAATTTGACAAATTAAGAAATTCATGTGGCAATCAATACATATTCAGGTTTCTTAATGGTCACTGCACCAACTGGAGAAGCCACTAAGCATATGATAACTCAGTGCTTAAAGTATTTTTTGTATATGGGAATTCCTGAAATTATAAAAATGGATAATGGATCAGGATATATAAGTAGAGCATTTCAGCAATTTTATTTCTGCATAAAACAGGAATTCCTTATGATCCTCAAGGACAAGAAACTGTAGAGTATGCCCATGGCTCCTTGAAAACACAACTTCAAAAGAAAAAAAAAAGGGGGCGGGGAGTATGCCCTCAGTAGTCACATACTGCTTTAAATCATGCCTTCTTTATTCTAAGTTTCTTGAATATGGATACCCGTGAGCAATCTGCCGTGGATAGATTCTGGCATGATGGCACCAGAACGACCTTTGCTAAAGCAAATTGGAAAGACCCTGCACTGGATTATGGAAAGGACCTGACCTTGTTTTAATATGGAGTTGAGGGCATGTCTGTGTTTTTCACAGAAAGAAAATGAAGCTCGGAGGTTTCCTGAAAGTTTGGTGCAGTGTGTGTGAAACAGAAGAGTGCCATCCCTGATGATGTCGTGGATGCCAAGGTCCACCTCCCAGAAGAGTTGCAATGAAATTGCTGAACCTGTGTTCCTGACTCTCCGATGTCATCATTCTGCAGTCTGAAAAGGAAAGGCGGTTATGGGAATGGTTGGTGATACCCAACTTCCTGATAGTCCTGTTGCACAGAATTCTAGACCTCTTTGAATCCTATTTGCTTTGGAGCTGGCCCAGAAATGCTGACTGAATGTTTGGCCATCTATCTACAAAATATCGTGGGATGCGGACATTAACTTTGACAGTATGATGTTCAATCTGATGTTGAAATAAAGGACTTGGAGAACTGAGACCTCAGAAATTTCTCCTTTTGAGGAAAAAAACTTGTTAAAGCAATAGAACACTGTTATGAAGGCAACATGTGATTAAAGCCCCTTTAGTATGTGAGGAGGAGGACTGTAAAAGTTTTTGTTGCTACTCAGGGACTGGAACAGTTCAAACATATCTTTGGAAGTTTGGTAGCAGTAATGTAATTGAACTATAGGAGAGGAAAAAGACTATTAGCTCACCTATCCCAGAAACTTTCTCTTGTTTTTTGATTACAATGAAGTTATGAGAATTGTAACTTGACAAATTGTGTGTTTATTGATAATTTTTATACCAGAATTATGGTATTGACCTGTTAATGTTTGCAACTACTTCGATTCACTATAAAAATGTTACTGATTAGGAAAAGGTTAGAGTTTTCTGAGAAAATTTGACATGATGCCAATGAGTCCTTAGATTTGATATATTTGATTAGACAAATTTTGATTTTGATGCAGCTAAAACTATTAAAGACATACTAGACCAATTTTAAAAGGCCATCCTATCTTGGTCATCCTTTACTCCTTAATTAGGAGATATAGTGGCCATAGGTGTGTGTATCACAAAGAATTACCTGCTTGCCTACAATTATCTAATTACTTGTGAACTCTCTCAATGGGAAGTTGGCTCAGAGGTGCATGGTCTCTGGCTATGCACTCTCCCTTAACCCTTTATGAACAGAGGTTGATAGTCAATGGCAGGTAAGATCTTTTCCCCTCCAGGCAATCTAAGACAGAGTGTTCATGATGGAATGTATGGATGGATGACAGGTAAGACTGGAAGGTGGGAGAAGACAACCTAAGATAGGCACAGTCTGTCCTGTAGCAGAAGCTCAGGCTTTGATAAATAAATAAAAAAGGATGGAATCTGTGGGAGCTCCCAGATGTGGTTTCATTCCACCTTGACTAAAGGTCTGAGAGTTCAGGGCTCTTCTTGCTCCTTCAAGGGTCTATGACAGGAGGTTTGACCCAAGGTGGGACTACTAACAGAATGTCTTGACCTAGGGTGTGGTTACTTTGTGTTTTGGGTATTACGAAGATAATTACTTTGTTTGTTCCTTGTATCATGGTAAAGAAGTCTTTTGCCTTCTTTCCCCCTTTTGGATTGGGGTTTATAAAGCCTATGAGAAATAGATGTGAGGGCAATCTCATTATTTCCTGGATGCTCTCCCGACTCTATCAGTTATCTCTTGGCTATTTCTTTCTTAATCCTCATGCTTCCCTCCAAGCATGAATGAATAAGCCAACAGGGACCTGACATCTCTCTCTCTCTCTCTCTCTCTCTCTCTCTCTCTCTCTCTCTCTCTGCCTCTCTGCCTCTGGATTGAGATGTAGCTCTCAGCTCCAGCTCCAGCATCTGTTTACATATTGGCTTGCTCCTGGCCGTGATCACAAGGGACTTAACCTTTGAAACTGTAAGCAAGACCCCAATCAAATGTGTTTTTTTATAGGAGTTGCCTTGATCATGGTGTCTCTTCACAGCAATAAAACGGTGACTAAGAGAGTCTGCATACACACATATCTCTTTCCTAAGAATATATTTAGCAATCTGGGAGCCCACTTGCCTCTACCTGAATGAACATTCCTCTCCAAACAAAGCAATTGGGTTACTCCAATATACAGCTCCCTAGTAACCCTCAGTACTTTGTTGTGTATGTATGTGTGTCCAAACATATTAGAAGGGTCAATCTAAACTGGTTTTAAATGCATTCACAATAAGGCAAACTGTCTCCTCAAATTTGGGGATGGTCTCCTATCTACCATCTTAACCCTGTACATAATTAGGCAAAAGAAACAAAGGCAGGTGGATCTCTATGAGTCTGAGGCCAGCCTGGTCTAGAGAGTGAGCTCCAGGACAACCAAAACTGTTAGACTGAGAAACCTATCTTAAAAAAAAAAATCCTTGCCACTTCACCATTTTTTGTGTGCTACTTCAGGTCTTTGAACAAGATGCCAAGTACCCGGAAGCACAACGCCTAGATGTAATGATCTGTTCTGTCTCTCTTTAAGAGACAGGCCATGCCCACTCCCTCCCCTATCCTTTGAGGCAGGAAGATCTTCCTTCCTGCTTGCAGCTGGACTCTCTTCCTCTTCCCTCTTCCTCTTGGAGAGGCAGCTTCCATCTCTCCTCTCTCTCTCTCTCTCTCTCTCTCTCTCTCTCTCTCTCTCTCTCTCTTTCCTCTTCTCTCTCTCTCCCTTTCTCTTTCTCTCTGCTCTTCTCCCCCTCTTCCTTCCCCCTCCATAACCCACTAAATAAATATCCATCCTCACTCTGCATGGCTTGCCTATCCATGTCTCTGTCTCTCGCCTGCCTATTGCCGTGTGTCTCCCTGCCTGAGACCAGCTGCCTTCGGAGATCTGTAGCATGGTCTCATGTGCCATCCCTGCCTGGGACTGGCTGCTCTCAGGACCTGCTGCCCCGTGCATGCCACCACATGGCCCACTGCCTGTTGCCACTTGGGGACCTGCAGCATTTCTGCCACTGCAGCTACTTGGGGATCTGCAGCATTTTAATTAATCTATTACACTAGAGGCCACAGTAACACTTGATGAGCCATCCAGAGGCAATAGAATGAATTTTCTTCTGCTTCACCATGCAAATTTCTCCCTCTTGTCTTTTTTCCTGGCCTGTGATATTAGGTAATACAAAGGCAAAGGTAAATGGGACAAAACATGTCAGGGTCCTGTTGCAAGAGAACAGAGTGGCCATTCTGCCAGGATGGAGAAGGCAGTGATGGTTAGGAAGAAGGTTGCAGGTGTCTTCCTTGCTGGACTTGGGACAAACAAAACAACTAACCAAACACATTCAATAGTCTAAGTGAAATGTAACAAAGTAGATCCCAGACCTGGGATCCAGTGTTGTTTCTACTTTCTAAGAAAGAACAAGACTTAGTTGCCATTTGGAATTTTAATGTATTTTTCCACCCCTCTTTCCCCACCTCTTTCTCTCTTCTCATTTTTTCTTTGGTCTAGGTTACAGATTGTCATGGTCTTATAGGAGCTGACCAAACAAAGCCTTGAGGACTCTTTCATCTGGAGAGATGGTCCTGCTAGGTCCTCTTATTCTTGAAATTCAAAACTGCAATTAGGCCAGGTCTGTAGGTAGAGTGCTTGCCTAGCATGCAGGGAGCCCTGGGTTCAACCAAACCAGCTGGAATGGAACACACCTGTAATCCTAGCACTCTGGGGGTGAAGGCTAGAGAATCAGAAGTTCAAGGTCATCCTCAAGATCAACTTGAGCTACAGGAGCTAAAGAATGGCTTTTAGATTTTATTGAATAATTACCATGCTTGCATGCACCAATAAGTAAGCAATTGAAAAGATAAAGAACCAGGCAGTGATGGCACACTGCTTTAGTCCCAGCACTCAGGAGGCAGAGGCAGGCAGATCTCTGAGTTTGGGGCCAGCCTGGTCTGCAGAGTGAGTTCCAGGACAGCCAGGAATACACAGAGAAACCCTGTCCTGAAACAAAACCAAAACCAAACAAAACAAGAAACAAGGAAAGGAAAGGAAAGGAAAGGAAAGGAAAGGAAAGGAAAGGAAAGGAAAGGAAAGGAAAGGAAAGGAAAGGAAAGGAAAGGAAAGGAAGAAATCAGCAGATAAATCCACCCATCTGCTAGGAATCATCACAAGTGATTCCTACCCTTCTTTTGATGAATTGGCTTCTCAAAACTTCTTCAGACATTTCGTTGCAATATTCCAATGACATGACTTCACCAGACTAGAACATTTCCTACATTCAAGGACGTACTCTCTCTCTCTCTCTCTCTCTCTCTCTCTCTCTCTCTCTCTCTCTCTCTCTCTCTCTCTCTCCTCCCTCTCTTTGTCTCTGTATTTCTCTGTCTCTGTCTCTCTAACAAACTGATACAATACAGAGAATCCCCTCTAGAGTGGATTGAGCATCTGAACTGTTTTATGGATTGTGCTTTTCCCACTTCCTACCCAGACTCCACAGAAGGAGGCTCTGTGACACCACCATGCCGCTTCCTCCACTTACTTGACTGGGCATGTGGCCTGCCAGGACTTCACTCTTATGAGTCATCTCTCATCATGTAGCCATGGCTACCATTTCTCCCTCAATTTCTCAGTTAAGCAGATAAACAGCTCATGCGCCAATGCCTTTCACAAGACGCTCATTGGAAGGAGGCCAGGTTCTCTAATTAGAGAGTGTCTAAAAGCCACCCTCTGCACCCAAGGATACTCCACTTGGAAAGAGGACACAGATTATGGAGGGACTCTGTCAAAGACAAAGTGGGACCAAAAAGAGACATCACAATGTCTAAGGCTAAAGCTGGAGGCTTTCTAAGGGGGTTTTCCTTGGAATCTTCAGCTTCCTCCTACTCTTCAAGGAGGATTCTCTTTTGGTGCAAGGTCAGTTCAATAGTTCTCCGTTTTATCCTTTCCTTTCCATTACAGGTCAATATGGAGAACTCCCCTTCCGTTCCACTGGACTCCCCTCTCAAGTGTACCTTTAATCAATAATAAAAATTTGACCCAGACAACCTTAGAAAATGGCACACCATATTTATCTATGTGTTTGCTTGTTTGTTTGTTTAATGTACATGGTGTTTTGCCTGCACATATATTTTGTGCAAAGGTGTCGGATCCCCTGGAATTGGAGTTATAGACAGTTGTGAGCTGCCCTGTGGTTGCTGGGAATTGAACCCAGATCCTCTGGATGAGCAGTCAGTGCTCTTAACCACCGAGCCTTCTCTCCAGCCCTGGTCCATCAGATTTTATTGGAACACCTCCTAGCTCCAATACAAACTGGAGTGTGGAGAAAGATGGCAGTTTCTGTATTTGATAATTGTTTGTGTGGACTGTAAGGTCCTTTAGGGTAGGAGAAAAATAGGCTGAGATAAAAAGAATGCAGGACTTTAAATCAAAAGTGTCCATCTGTGTGGCTGAAGAGCTAGACACAGGATCTCCATGAGCGTGCTTAACTCCTCAGGTCCATCTTGAAGGTAATGATGCTAATGGATATTTACCTTGCTGCTCTTTTCTGCCAGGTGCCTGCCTGGCACACCGTCTCGATCGGGGTGGGAGAAGTGTGCAACACCAAGGTGCTGTTAAATGAGTATGAAATTGCACAGACTTCTGTTGTTCTTTAGATCATCTGAAGGAAGTTTTATTTCTTATTTATTTATTTGTGTGTGTGTGTGTGTGTGTGTGTGTGTGGCTATGCTTTGCCATGGAATGTATGTGGAGACCAGAGGACAATCTGTGGGAGTTAGTTCTTTCTCTCTACAATGTGGGATCCAGGAATTAAACTCAGGTCACTGGGTTTCGGGGGAACAGCCCAATCCACTGAGGCATCTGACTGGGCCTCATGTATCCCAGGTTGGCCTCAAGTTCCTCATCTGGAGGAGGATGATTTTGAACTTTTGATCCTCCTGCTCCCATTTCCCAAGGACTGGGATTACAAAGCGTATGACAGCATGTTTGGTTTATGTGATGCTGGGGATCAAACCCCGAGCTTAATGCAATGCT